GTATGCTGTACCCGGATGGCAAGTGGTTAAGGAATTTATTTTGTTCTGGTATTATATACAGCCATGAGCACAGTCTTCATATGATAGGTAGGTTTGTAGGATTCTTGCAGATCTATTGAAGAATACGCTTTATGAAATCTTGATTGCAAGCTGAATTTGTATAGCCTCACCAAAACTTGAATGTAGTGACTTACACCTGACTGTGTAAGTGACTGTGGTGGATATATGTTCACGCCCAACAAAGTATATTAACACACAGAAAAGAAGGGTGTGCTGTAGAAGCAAAAAGAGACCACTCACAATCTACATCACTGTAAATGAAGGTTACATAACCCTTGTGCTTTGCAAAAAAAAAAAAAAAAAAAAATCAAAAAAGGACCTTTGTCCATCTGACTCCTGAGCAAAAATAGCCTACATACTCCAAATTTGTGTCATGGTAGGACAGCTGTTAACACAAACCACCATACATCTACAGCAACAGAAAGGATTAAGCATTAGGGTGCTTGTCCTTGAGAACATTGCACTACAAAACGTCTGGATAAGGTAGGCAATACCAAAATCTGTGTGTGCTGTACAGTGATACTGATGTGATACGGATGTGCAGTCAATTTTCAAATTCACCAACTGTGCTAGTAGCAGTAGTTGTATTGTCAACTTGTGACAAAACATGTGCTGCAGTGTAATCACAAAGACAATGCATAAATGCCTTAAACCTCTGTAGCAAGATGGATTATCCACCCATTTATACAGCAAGTAATGTAAACATGTATCATGTAAAGGGCTTAGCATTGTGACATTACCAGGCTGAAACACTGCACCAAAACAAGGGCTTTAGTGCATGCACAAGATATCACATAGATGTCTTAAACCTCTGCAGCAACACAGACTAATACACCATACAGGATGTCATGTGGGAGGTTTTTACTGTGGCATTGGGGGAAAAAAAAAAAATGTATAGGCTTAAAGCTTATTTTTTTTTTTTTAAATAACAAACATGTCTATACTTACCTGCTGTGTGCAGTGGTTTTGCACAGAGCAGCCTGAATCCTCTTCTCGGGTCCCCCGCAGGCTCTCCTGTCTGTCAGGTGCCACCACAGTAAGCAGCTTGCTATGGGAAACACCCGCTGCTCTGTGTGTCCATTCACACATGCAGCCACAGCTTGGCCCTGCTCTCCTCCTCATTGGCTGACTGGTTGTGATTGACAGCAGCAGGAGCCAATGGCTCCCGCTTGCTGCCTCAGCCAATGAGGAGGCAGAAAAAGCGGGATAGCCGAGGCTGCCATTCACATCGCTGGATTGTGATAAGGCTCAGGAAAGTATTGAGGGGACTGGAGGCACTGCTGCACACAGAAGGTTGCATAGAATGCATGAAGGTAAAAAACCTTCAGCCTTCACAACCACTTTACAACTGACAGGCAGGGTTCTTACAACAGAACAGTCCCTAGTGGTCTCTGCACAGCTCAGATGATGTTTATAGCACCCGCTGTGTGACGTGGTGATGCAACTCCTGTGCGCATGCATGGGAGTGAAATCATCACAGCCTTATGATTTAGGTGGCCAAAGAGACGGAACAAGGAAGGATATCTGGGCGAAGATGGAAGCACTTGGGACCAGTATCAGTGGTGACGGCTCAGCACTGGGGCACTCCGTTTAGCAAGTAAATCTGCCACAATGTGCTATTATACAGTGCTCTGGGCACAGAGTTACATGCACATGAGCACTCATATGTAAACAGGCACAAAAGCATGGAATTTTGGTTGTTGAACATTTTCAAGCATTAATCTTCCAGGTGTAAATCAGAGCTTATGCAGAAACACTAACATAAATGCCCTGCAGGAGACCCATGCTGCCATACACTATGCTGTAACTGTCTAAACAGCACAAAAATATATAACAAAATAATTTTGCAGCCTAAACTGTAAATATGATTATCTCAAGAGAATTTTCAGCTATAAAAGCATGCAATAGGCTCAGGAGTTACAAATACTGAACTCTATTAAACTTCATTACTATACAGTACAATTTTGCATGAAGTCCCCCACTGCGGCATTATCATACCTGAAATCCACACATGAGAAACTCCACTGTATGGTAAATTTTTTATCAAAGGCCGGTTTTATACTGGAATGCGAACATTCCTGTGCATTCTGGTCCTGACAGCCCATTCATTTAATAGGCTGTAAAACGCAGGGGACAATGCAAAAAGCTGGCTTTAGGTTAGCCAAGAAAGATCTTGTACATAACTCTATCCTCATTCTAACATGGAGACGCTCATGGGGATATACTGCTAATCAACTGCCATTCAAATTTTAAATAAGGGCATCTTGACAATACCAAACATTTGGGGTTCATTTACTAAAACTAGAGAGTGCAAAACCTGGTGCAGCTCTGCATAGAAACCAGTCAACTTTAAGGTATTATCAACGCTTCATTGAACAAGCTGAAGTTAGAAGCGGATTGGCTGCAATGCACAACTGCACCAGATTTTGCACTCTCCAGTTTTAGTAAATCAAATCAATTTACTCTTTAGGATTAGAAAAGAGCCTAAGGATACAGTGACATGGCGACCCAGCAGCGGCCACTGGCAAGAATCAGCAGATTCTTGCTGGCAGTTCTAAAAGCAGCCTGCACATACTATGTGCCAACAGATGAAGTTGTCAGTGGAAGCCATTAGATTTGTACTCTGTACAAATCAATGGCCAGCAGTGCCATTGTTCACATATATAAACAATCATGTGAGCAGTTATATTTGAATAGAGCCTCTAACCAACCCTGAACATAGCCAGTGTGCATCTAGGGTCAGCATTTCTGCAGTTTTGGCTGCACACAAATTGGTTGCAGCTAATTGGCCAGTTTGTATGCAGCCAAAGCAAAGGGTGTTGATGCATCCAAAGGTGGCATTTAGCCACCTCTGAACACAGCAAACTATTCACACCCATTTAGTTAAGTGAGATTGTAAGCTCCAAGGATCAGGGCCCTCCTATCCCTCTTGTATTGAACTGTATTCTCCCGTTATATTGTAAAGCGCTGAGCAAACTGCTGGCGCTATACAAATCCTGTATAATAATAATAATAATAATGTAGCCTAACACATTACAAATGTCCAGGCCTGCCACCAGCAGAGAAAACATGAAACATGACCCTCAAGATACCTCCACAAACACAACAGTGCCAGTGAAATACAGCATTCATTGCTAAAACACCTGAAGCTCACCACCAAGGGAAACTATGAGTCGGTTCAAACTATAGAAACGCGATGCAGATGCGTTACGGATGCATTTTTTGGCGAATTCCAGTGTGTTTTTTTATGTGTTCCATTTATTTTTTCCCCTCTCGTTTTCTTCAATTTAAATAGGGACGTGTGTGTTCTAGTGCATTTTTGAAGCGTTTTACTGCGTTCCAGTACAGTTCTGTACAGGAAAAATGCAGTCTGTTCTACTTTTTTTTCTGCATCTGGAAAGCACTGGAACTGCAAGCACTGTGACACTGAAAACCATATTGACCTACTTTGTGCGCATTTTGGATGAAGAAAAAAAGCACTCTGAAATCGCATGTAGTGTGAAACTGGCCCTAAGGGGACAGAGATACAGTAAATGCAGTTAGCTACTGTCACAGGCACCTGTAACCCTCAAAGATGTTTTCTGCCCCGGAGTTGATCACAGGATAAGCAGTGGAGGAAAGCTCCCAAAATTGTTTTCTGCCATTTACATCACCTTTCCTAGGAGGCATGATCGCTGGATGAGGCATCAGCAGTCCATTTTCCTCTACATTTTCCCAGCCCTGGCAGTTGCAGCACCTAAATAAAATGGCAGTACTCCACCTGGTCACGTGAACTCAGCCTGGTGCATTCCCAGCAGGGAGAAGAAGTAGTTGCCAGAAGAAAACCACACCAACCCTGGCAGTTCCATCAAGGAGGGCAAGTCCACTCCCAGTACTGGCCTCCCCCAGGCACTGAAAAGAGAGTGGAATGGATGAGAACTGGATCATCTGGGAGGCTGAGGAAAAGGAGGGTGGTTGGCAGACTGCAGACAAGAATCCCAAGATGAGCCTTCTTTTGCCAGGTTCCAAGCAATGCATCTCCTCTGGATGGAGGAAACACACAATGAATGGCCAAGTCTGGCAGGAAACTTTTCTTTTAAACTTGTGCTGATTTGTTTCCCTTTTCCTGTTGGAGTGGGTGCCTATCTTTCACGTGCTGCCTGGTAATAACCTAGGATAAGGTTAGTCAGAATTGCTGCAATGCAATGCAATACAGCAGACAAAAATTGTAGTAAAGCACTATTCTGAGACCATATGAGACTCCTTTTTTCAAGGTATGAATGGTAACTTGTGGTGCGCTGGTGACAAATGATATGCGATTTTGTTCAGCCAGTCTTGCAATACAGAAACCCCTGACAAAGCAGAGAGATCTGTGTTCTTCTCCCCGATGTCCGAATACAAAGGCACAATGGGGAGAATTTTTGCATCCACGCTGAATGTGTGGATGGGGGAATTGGTTTAGTTTTCTTCCCTCAGCCAGCTGAGTGAAAAAACTGATATTATGGGCAGCTTTAGTTTTTGTTGTAATATTTTTGTCTCATGACACTGGGTTACATTTCACCAATTATTGTTATGCATATACCCCTGTATGTATGTCAAGACTCTTTGTGTTCTATTGGGCCTTTTCATCTTTTACATGAATCTTAAGCAAAACCTAAATAAACTCTTTTTAAACAAAATCCCGCTGTCTCTGGTACTTGTATTTTCTTGGAGTTCAGCTTTAAACTCTGGCAGACTAAGGAGGAAGAGATAAGCATAGAAATTCACACCAAAAGATCTATAAACACATAAAGCAGACACAATAGATATTCTACCTTATTTACAGTACATCAAAAGTTCTTTGGAGAATTATGATGTGATGATCAAGAACTAAAATAAACAGACTGGACACAGCTTGGAGCAAAATGCATTTAGTTGTTCAATAATCTTTGGCTTGATGTGTTACTACCATTCTGTAGTACCTGTTATGATGATCTCAGGAACATCCAGAATATTGCCAAATGAAGCAGTTTTACGGTGGCCTCGTTTAGACTTGGTATATGCTGCAAAAACATATACACAATACACATGCAGACAACAACAAGTGGTACAAAACACAATTAACAAAAGCATGGAAGTGTACAGCACAATGTTAAACAATGAAGGTACGTGCAAAAAAGAAACATGCTAAGGTTTTTGCTTTTAATGAAAGAGTAAAAAAAAAAAAAAAAAAAAAACAAAACAATAGATGAGCATGCAAAATATAGCATGACAGGACACACAAACTTATAGTAATGCAGACAGTCTACCTGGAATGGTTATTTATGGACTACCCTAACTGGAAGCTGTGATGTATATGAATACATCTTTACAAGTACCAAAAGGTAACAGGTTTCAAACTTTTTTGTAATAATCTAAAGAAAAGTTTCTATACCTGCTTATTCATGATAGATTTAAGACATATTTAGGCTTGGTTTACACCCGCGTTGCTCCCTGAAAAGCAATCTGTGGTGGACTGGTTTTCAGAGAACAGTACAGGTGCAGCTGACAGGCATTCGTGTGGCGATACTGCCTTTGCTTTTTTTGACAGTTAAACAGTGTTTTTTCAATGGAAATACCACGTCACAACTGTGAACCTAACAGTTTGCAGTTGCAGTGTGGAACAATTCACTTAAATGGGTTGCATTTAGCAGTGGTACTGCCTGCAGAACGCAACATGGGGTCATGGCTCAACCAACCTCCCAATCCCAAATGTGAATGTACCCTTATTATTATTATTATTATTACTACGAGTTTATATAGCGCCAAAGGGTTTGCTCAGCGCTGTACAATAGGGGGGGACAATACATGGCACAGTACAACAAAGACAGACAGCGTACGAGGGGTAAGAGGGCCTATCTTACGAGCTTACCCTTACACTGGTACACTCAAAATTAAAATAAAACGATTTTCAAGAATTGTGCAACATTTATTGTAATAAATGCACATAGGTGGCAGCAAAGTCCATATAGGATTCACATATGCAGGTAGAAGTTGGTGCATAAAAGAAAAAAAAAGCCTGATCCAGAGAGAAGACCACCACCTTCCAACCAAAAGAATTGGCCTCTTATCAGAAGGTTTGACTGCCCAAAGGATCGCCCAAAATACGCAGTATAGTATATCCAACTGATACAGCGCCAGATCTTCAGTGCAGACTGCTCCCGGTATAATCACAAATACTTATCCAAGTTATTATTATACAGTATTTATATAGCGCTAAAAGGTTTCCTCAGCGCTGTATAGATATAACGATGTAAGTTATAGATACTCTGAGTAGCAAACTTCCCATCAGGTGACACAGCACTTTAACTTGGCTGTGAATTAGTCCAAGAAAGCTACTTGGTCAGTAGCATTTATATCATGAGGTCTATGTCATGCACATTCCAGCAACTTTACCAGTCAGATTAGGTCCTGAGGAAAAAAAATAACTCACCACACGGAGCCCAGGGATTGATATATAGTGTAGTAGTTTTAATGACCATAAAAGCATCCCATTATGATTATGGGATGCATTAGAACAGTCCCAGTCAAACCTGTGTGGCCAATTCCCAAAAGGCTTCGTTTCTCTTGTAGCAACAGGTTAAGGCCACAAGACCCTCTCACTAGACCCAGTGCCTCAGTGGTAGCAGTCACTCTGGTCCGATGACTTCTGGGTTGCCTGTGGTGACTCTGGTCTTCAGCACAGCATTGACTGTATACTAGCAGTATTTTAGTCCCTCAGCCCACATATAGCGTAGAACTAAGATACTGCTAGTATACAGTCAATGCTGTGCTGAAGACCAGAGTCACCCCAGGCAAGCCAGAAGTTATCGGACATCTCTGGATCGGGCTTTTTTTTTTTCTTTTATTCACCAACTTCTACCTGCATTTGTGAATCCTATATGGACTTTGCTGCCACCTATGTGCATTTATTAGTAACCTTTTTTTTTGCTATACCATTAAGATGTATGTATAGATAGTACTCCAATTGGTTTGTCATTATTTAAGTCTTGGCCTGTTTAATGTGCAAGCTGCTTTGTCATTTTGTTGACTTAGATTCTAAGTGCAAGTTCTATTTACACATTTTTTTGTGGAAATTTTATGTAAACCTCAATATTTTCTGCCAATGTCAAATACGATCCAGCTACTCATACCCACCTTTTAGTTTCCTAAAATGGACTTTTACAACTTTAGCTGTCTATTCTCTGGATATGCTGTTCATTTAAATGTTTCTTTTTTTTTTTTTTACCGAAGGTAACCTTTGCTCTTTTATTTTTTCATATGTCAGTTTTGACAGTCTGTGTCAGTTTCCTCTAAAATATTATTTTTTAAATCTATTTTAAAATGCAATTATTTATTGTGCAATTGCTTTACAAGATATGGGTCAGTCCCACAGAACAAATATTTGCAATATTTATTGGTGTCAGGAAGTGGAGTCTACCCTTGTATTAGATGTCTGTATTTGAGAGTCTCTCATAATGAGATATGTACAACCTGAAGTTCAAAAATGAAGATAAAGGGTTCACATTCCACAAAACCTGACTTTCCTAAGAACAAGGCCGTCAGTTTTTGTGTAGCACTTCTCAGCTGTATAAACCTAGGCAAATACCTGCTATTTTCAGCATTGCACTGCTGCCATTTTCACCTCTCTATGAACTTTGCAGAATTTATGCCATGATATTATGCGGCTATTACACCAATGCTTTTCTCAGTTGGTTTATCTTTTATAGCAAATTAATGGCACTTAAGAGTTAGTTGGTTGCCATAATTGTCGTTATGTGCCTTAGACACACTGTTTTTAACTGCGATTTTTATTCTTCTTTTATGTGTTCTATTTGTGAGTTTTCATTAGATGTTTTTTCATGTACCATAATAAAACAGTTTGCTTAGTACTCGTTTTGTTCTGTTCTACCATCCAACCATACAAACCCACTACTGTATTACACCTGGGTGTTATCATTGTTTCCCTGGTTGAAATAACCACATTTCATTTAACCAGAGGTTTCCAGACTGTTTAGTTAAATATTGCTGCACACGAACAAGATGGTTTTACAGCTGCTACAAATAGAGTACCATCTTTTACAAAAAGATAAGGGCATCACATCATCAGAAAGAATGCCTCAGACTAAAGTATTGCATTGGTCAACCAAAAATCCATGACAATTCAATGTTCCAGTTGTCCAGGTAAGCAATTTCTACTGTTACTTTACTATGATCAGACTGCTGTAATTAAGTCACATGTAAAAAAATGAAGCAGAGGGCAAATATGCTTTTGCAAGATATACAAATTAGATTACTTATACAATTTGGATTGAAAACTGATAGCTTTTTAAAATGATATGCCATTATGCTTTACTCTAAAAATAAAGAGGACTCTACAGATGTTTAATTATCTTTTTTTATAATCACTGCTAATAAAATATCAATATATTATAAAATAAAATATCAGGGGTTTCCAAACTATGGCCCTCCAGCTGTTGAAGTACGAGTCCCATCATGCCTCTGCCTCTGGGAGTCTTGCCTGTGGCTGTCAGAGTCTTGCAAGACCTCATGGGACTTGCAATTCCTCAACACCTTGAGGGCCATAGTTTGAAGACCCCTAATGTATATGGTTAGGGACACACTTCCTGCTTTCTCTATCAACAAGTATACCTAAACCATATATAATACTGCACCTTTCCCTGTATCTGTCAAATGGTTCCATAACATATGCCTAGCATTACTTAGTTATGGATACCATAGCACAACAGCAAAGCAGGATTATGCCATGTAAAAGCAAAGATTCCTATAAATAAAACATCTGTATGTGGCCTGCGTAAAGTAGTCATAGCTGTGAAGTTAGTATTTTAGAATGCTTGTCGATTACCTGTGCTTCCAGAAATTCTTGGCTCCGATTCTGACATGTCCGCACTCTTCCTTTTACTTTCAGGTGTAAGTATTGAAGGTGGCTTAACTCGAGTATCAGAAAGACTTTCAACGCTGCTACCTCGAGAAGGTGGCAAACTCAAGCGGCCTGGTTCCCCCTAAATAGGTATTATTAGGAAATGTTTGGAGAGACATTCCAAGTTAGCTAGGCATGTGAGAAATAACTACAATAAACACAAAACATCCAGAGACTGATACGGGACAGGTACACTTAACAGGAGCCTCCAAGATTATGGTTTAGAGAGATCCAGCCAACGTAAGCCAGCGATGAATTACACACTTACACACACTTTTTTCAATTTTGTTATGTTGCAGCCTGATACTACATTTGTTTAAATTCAGTTTTTTCTCATTAAGCTACACTCAGTACCCCATAATTACAAAGTGAAAGGAAAATTTTAGAAATGTTTGCAAAGGAAAAGCTGAAATATCATAGGTGGACTCCAGACAAGGTGTAGAAACAGCTCACAAATGATCAAGAGACATGGGAGACACCTGAGCTAAATTTCAAGTGTTGTTGCAAAGGGTCTGAAAACTTGTGCCACTGAGATGTTTAATTTTTTTTATTTTTAATAAATTCACAGGCATTTCTAAAATTCTGCTTCCACTTTGTCATTATGGGGTATGGAGTGTAGATTAATGAGAAAAAAAATGAATTAAAACAAATGCAAGAAAACCTAGGAAATGGGGTGCAGAAAAATGGCAGCAGGTGCTCTGGACTGATGAGTCAAAATTTGAAATATTTGGCTGTAGCAAGTGTCAGCTTGGTCACGAAGGGCTGAAGACTGGTACAATAATGAGTGCCTGCAGGCAATAGTGAGGTATGTTGGAGGTTCCTTGCAAGGTTGGGGTTGTATTTCTGCAAACGGATTTGGAGATTTGGTCAGGATCAATGCTGATTGATACAGGCAGATGCTTATCCATCATGCGATATCATCAGTGAGGCATGTGATTGGTCCCAAATTTATTCTGCAGCAGGGCAACGACCCCAAACATACAGTCAATGTCATTAAGAACTATCTTCAGTGTAAAGAAGAAAAAGGGAGTCCTGTCCTGAAAGATATTTGGCTCCCACAGAGCCTTGATCTCAACATCATTGAGTCTGTCTGGGATTACATGATGAGAAGGATTTGAGGCAGCCTAAATCCACAGAAAATCTGTGTTTAGTTTTCCAAGATGTTTAAAACAACCTAACTGCTGAGTTCCTTCAAAAGCTGTGTGCAAGTGTAGCTAGAATTGAAGAAGTGGTGCTATTTTGAAGGCAAAGGGTGCTCACACCAAATATTGTTTTATATATATATATATATATATATATATATATATATATATATATATATATTACACACACACACACACACACAGTTAGGTCCCTATATATTTGGACACAGGCACAATTTTATTTTTTTTTACAGGTATTTACCAAAACCCACGATACAAACTGAGTTGCAGTTCAGCGAGTAAAATAAGTATTTGATCCCCAAGAAAAACATGACTTAGTATTTGGTGGAGAAACCCTTGTTGGCAAGCACAGAGGTAAGACATTTCTTTAATTTAATTACCAGGTTTGCACACATATCAGGAGGGATTTTGGTCCACTCTTCTTTACAGATCTTCTCTAAATCCTTAAGGTTTCTTGGCTGTCACTTGGCAACTCGAAGTTTCAGCTTCCTCCATAAATTGTCTATAGGATTAAGGTCTGGATACTGGCTGGACCACTCCATGACTTTAATGTGCTTCTTCTTGAGCCACTCCTTTGTTGCCTTGGCGGTATGTTTTGGGTCATTGTCATGCTGGAATACCCATCCACAACCCATCTTCACTGTTCTGGCTGAGGGAATAAGGTTCTCATCCAAAATCTTACAATACATGGCCCCGTCCATTGGCCCCTCAATGCATTAAAGTCGGCCTGTACCTTCAGCAGAGAAAAAAGCACCAAAGCATAATGTTTCCACCTCCATTCTTGACTGTAGGGGTGGTGTTCTTAGGGTCATAGTCAGCATTTTTCTTCCTCCAAACGCGGCGAGTCGAGTTAATGCCAAAGAGCTCAATTTTGTTCTCATCTGACCACAGTACTTTCTTCCAATCCTTCTCTTAATCATTTAGATGTTCATCGGCAAACTTCAGACGGGCCTGGACATGTGCCTTCTTGAGAAGGGGGACCTTGTGGACACTGCAGGATTTCTATTCATGGCAGCGTATTGTGTTACCAATGGTTTGTTTGGCGACTGTTGTCTCAACTGCCTTGAGATCATTCACAAGCTCCTCCTGTGTAGTTCTATTCTGATCCCTCACTTTTCTAATGATCATCCTTACCCCATGAGGCGAAATCTTGCACAGAGCTCCACACCAAGGGTGATTGATGGTTATTTTGTATTTCTTCCATTTGAGAATAATCGCTCCAACAGTTGTCTCCTTCTCACAAAGCTTCTTGCTGATGGTCTTGTAGCCCATTCCAGTTGTGTGCACGTCTACAATCTTGTCCATGATTCCTCTGTCAGCTCTCTAGTCTTGCCCATGATGGTGCCCAAGAAAGACTCTGTGGACAGGTGTCTTTTATACATATAACGAGTTGTCATTAGGAGCACCTCTGTGTACCACATGAGCACATAGCCCTGTCTGTGGGAGCTAGAATTGTTTGGTATGGGATCAAATACTTATTTTACTCACTGAACTGCAACGCAATTTATAACATTTGTATAATGTGTTCTTTCTGGATTTTTGGTTGATATTCTGTCTCTATCATTTAAAGTACACCTATAAAAAATTATATATCCTTCATTTCTTTGTAAGTGAGCAAACTTACAAAATCTGCAGGGGATCAAATAATTATTTTCCCCACTGTACACACACATACATACATACAAACATATACACAGTAATTATCAGAAATGTGCTAAACATTCTGCAAAAATAGAGGAGACATACTGTGAATATAGATATACTTACGCCTTGCTTGGACTGATTATTCCAGTGTGCCAATTTGGACTCTATTCGCTTGATGGTATCATTGCTTGCACTAACCTGCAAGTCGTCAATATCACTCTTATTGCTTGTATTTGTAGAATTATCAATGCAGGACCCTGTGAAGAAGTACAAGGTAAATACATCATCTCTAATAGAAGGAAAAAAGGGATTTCTGTTAATTTCACTAACAGCTGAAACTTAAATATATGCCTCTCAGTAAGCCGCATATGAAGGTGCATTTCGGACTTCCAAACTACAAGGAAGTGTGGGTCTTGTAGCTTATGACGACATGGTTTTCAAAATCTCTAAAGGCATGTGAATGTTTGTAACATGTCATGGAAATTTTGTATTGTTGGTCGAACTTTAAATGTGTCATATATTCTTGTTATTCATATGTCTCTCGTGTGGCTTAATTAAAGCTCTGAAGGCTGCAATTGGGCCATGCGCATGTACAACGTATGTATTACAGTACTCAGCTCGGTAACGGATGAGATGGCAGATCTGCGCTTATAGACCGGCGTGTATACCACCACGGCATTCGATGCGAATGCCGCTGTCAGTAGACCGCGGGCCTGTATCCACATATCAGCAGCATAGTACCACATGGGCTTCATAACGCAAGGCGCCAAGCGGTGTGAACTCCACATGTAGGCTTATGCATATCTTACAACCCATTACCAATCTGAACTGTATCCGGATGGATGTGTTTTAATAAAGATCGTATCGGGCCCATCCAGGTACAGACTGATATTTCTAGGGAATGCTTGTACGGAGAATGGACATACTGCTAGGAGCTGGAAAATATGCACTCCACAGAGGGCTCATGGGAAGGGGAGGAGATATGCTCTCCATAGAGAGCTCATGGGAAGGGGAGGAGATATGCTCTCCACAGAGGGCTCATGGGAAGGGGAGGAGATATGCTCTCCACAGTGGGCTCATGGGAAGGGGAGGAAGTCTGTGACCTCAGAAGGCTCATGGGGGAAGACCAGTGACAGATAATAGAAAAGGCTATGCTCCAATCGGAATGTACATCCTGTGTATAGGCACTCCCCATTGCATTGTTCTGTGGGAGGGGTTTTGACCTTATTCATGTGGGGGGGCATGTGTGTATTTGTAATAAAACCAAAGGGGAGAATGAAAATTGCCCTTATGTGAATTGCAACACTAGCCTTAGAGTGTCGTGTGATCATTCTAGGGTAACGGAGCTCCATCACCCACACATTTCAACAGAGCTAACCCATTTGGATGGGCAGGGATCGTGCAGTTTAGCTGCAGTCGTGGTAAGCGAGATTCGCACAGCTTTATGGGGGATTTCTGCGAATCCAACTGCGAGAGTACTCACGGTAAGGAGAAATTCGTTAAAGCGAATTTCCAGACAGTTTGGCGAGCCTGGTGGATACTAACGCGTATTCTGGGATAGCTAACCGAGCACGAGGGGGGAATGAGCCATCATGAACTAGCAAAAAGTATGCCGGCACATTTCAGGTCTCTCTGCCATTAAGAGGGTCGCTTTTTGCGCGTTCGTGTGGCTGATTTCGCTCTCTGTTAGCTAACAAGAATTACCGCTTAGCAAGGACCTTTTTGTCCTAAAATCTTGATCTGTGGGTGAAAGACAAGGGTTTGTCTCTGCGGAGAGCAGCAGAGGGGTGGGTTTGGTTGGCTGGATTTGGTCAAGTTTAAAAATCTTCCAACCAAAAATTAAACGGGTATATGTTTTAGTGGGTAAAAGTTGTTGCATAGTGTTAGGTAAGTATTTGTGGGTTGTAGGCACTGTGGCGATTGCTTTACCCCCCTCCACGTGAGGTAATTATTACAGTGCTGAAAGGCTTAGGTTAATTGTTAACTGTTGTAAGATCTTTGTGTGCATGTAGTCTGCAATGTTTTGTGGTACTACTGCTCCCAGCAAGCATGCAGCAGGGGGTCCTTTCTGTTACATGTGCATGTTAGTGTGATATGTTGGTGTTTTATGTCTGTTCTGTGATTGTGCCAAATTGTGTTGTATGTGTACTTCATATTGTTGTGCAATTGTCCAGTGTATGTTCTGTCCAAAAGTATGTTTTATGTAAGAGGTTAGAGGCAATTTTGAGGCTAGTGTCTACCATGTGCTCCTCTGTGGGGGGCCATTCTAGTATCTACCATGTGCTTCCCTGTGGGGGGCCATTTTCTTGACTAACCACATGTGCTGCTTTGTTTGGCAACCAGTTGTGAATGCCATGTGGCTTCTCCACCATTCCTTTTTCCAAGTTTCGCTTTGAGTTTCAATGATCTCTATGCAATGTGCATGAAGTTTCCTATATGCATTTGACCCATTTTGTGTTTTTAATCCAAATTTTTTAGTTTAATTTGTTTGCTTTTAGCTTTAAATTTGCGTATTGCCGGCCAATTTAAAGTATGTTAAGCGAGTTTTTCCCTCACGTGTTCCACATTTAGTGAGCGTGGTGAAGTCTGGGTTTTTGTATAGTGATTATGTTTTTCTTGTTAAAAGTAGTTCCTTATTGTAAAGCGGGTTTGTTTTAAGCTGCTGCGTTGCGTGTTTCGCATCCAGCAGACTTTTTGTGTAAACGGTTTTAGGTGGTTGCAGCGAAGATTGCGTGTGTAGCGCAGATCGTTTAGCGGCGCTGATAGGAGTGATTTTTGCATCAGCAACAAGGTTACTTTTGGCGCAGTTTTTCGGTTTACCTCTGTGTAATTGTTTTACTGTGAAATGTCCCGTGTTTTTCATAAGGATCTACTTTGTCCTTTTTAACGGTTTTTCAGGTTGAAAAGGGGTTTTTCTGTGTGTATTAGGAAAGTTTTTTCTTTAAACAAATTTCCTAAAGGTCAGTTAGCAGGTTTCCGGCCAACCAGTGACCCCTAAGTAACATCCAAGAACCCCTCTTTTTGTTTTGACTTGTGTTAGCTACTGTGTGCAGGGAGAGAAAAGCCACTTTCATCATTGTGCGGTGTGGCCTGCCAAACACAGTGGGTGATGAGAACCACATAAATTACGCTGTGGGAGTGGGCGGTCCAGGGAAGTGTAACGCTTAGCCTGGTTACCACAAACACTTCGGGTGGTCAGGATCACATAAATTGCGCTGTGGGAGTGGGAGGTGTGCTCTCAGTCTGACCGCCACTTGATGCGCTTCGGGTGATCGATATAAGTATCACATAAATTACGCTGTGCTGGGAAAGTGGTGGAAATCAGGCCTCTCGGTATAGCATCCCACCGAGTGCTCCAGGGGGTAAACAGGTACCCGGACGTGGGATATATACCAGTGACTAGTCACGATGGGCAGTAGTCAGTCCATGAAGAGAGAGGGGGAACCAGCCCTCTTCAGGGTAAGGACAGCTGCACAACTGATGAAGGTGAGTTTGGGGGGGAAGTCTACAGAACCCCTCAAAAGGTGGAATAAATGGTCGAAGGGTACCAGATGGGAAATTCCCCGGGAAGGTACATTTGACGCATGGAGGTGGGAAAAATTCATCTCTGAATTTGGACCACGGATGCAGGCGTCAGAACTAGAGATCGCACAGCTATGGCTTCACAGGTCAATCCGATTAGGGAAGCAGGGCATACATAAACTGGTGTCTGTCCGGAAGAACCAGGTGATGTATACCTGGCCTCCAGAGGGAATAAAACAGGAGGATCCGGTGTCAGAGGTGGAGGAAGCTCTTTCAGGGCTGACTCTACTAAGGCAGGCAGGATCAGGGTCTGCTGGGGTTCCCGAACAACCAACAGTGGCTGAGATAAGTATAACTGCACCTGTCTCTTCTGTTAGTGACAACACTCTTGGCGTACCTTTCGTGTCTTCTGTATCTATGCCTCAGCCTCTACCTCTCCCTTCTCCCTGCTTCACCCCAGCTCCTTCTGTTTCCAACTATGAAGCCTTCTCAACAACTGATTTGCAGACTATCTGTGAATCAAGGGGAATAGACACCCGGTTAAGAAACAGGGCGGATTGCATCAAAGCGCTACGAACCACTGATCAGACCCCTGCCCCCCAGCTATACCCTGATCTGAGGGACCTCAAACCTGAAGGTGCAGTAAGCGAGGTGGTTAATCTAAGCCCACCGATGAAGCTGGGCCAGCCCTTGCACTCTTCCCGGACCGAGGCCTATCCAGTCAGGGTGCAGCAATTTGAAGGTCCTCCCAATGCACAGGGGGAACGGACTTTAGGGGAACGGGTAGTTTGGCATGTCCCCTTCACCCCGGCAGAGATCCGCACTATTCTGGCTGAGCTCCCGGACTATCTAGTCAATCCGAGAGGATTTGCTCGAATGTTTGGACAAAACCAGTTCAGCTATGGTATGAGCGGGTCAGATTGTGCGCAGATCCTGCGGGCGAAGGTGGGCATGGAAGTGGCCAGTACAGTGATTGCAGGGTGCTCTATAACCACGCATGAGGAGATGACTTCAGGGGGCAAAGAGTTCTGTACACAGCTAAAGGCAAAGCTTCCAGAAATGTATGGTGCTACCTCTACTACGGACATGATGAAGCTCACCCAGGGTCCTAATGAGGAAAGCGCCTGCTTCTGGCGCCGTCTCAAGCAGACGGCACTGGATGCGGATCTGGAAGTTGGACCTGATGCTCCAACTGAAGGGGTAAAGGTGACCGCGACGCACATTCTGTTGCGGGCCAAATTTTTGGAAGGCATTGATACTAAAATTCGGGAAAGGCTGGTTCTGGCCCGACCCGAATATAATGAGATGTCTATCCCTGCTATCCTTTCCACTCTTGCGGCAATAGAGAGGGAAATGGATAGAAGAAAACAGGACAAGGCCAAAGTTCTTATGTCCCAGACCCCACACGAAAAACCAAGGGATCTGGGTCACAGGAAGGATAGGCCCCCACCCAGGTGCTTCCAGTGCCACCAAACGGGGCACATGAGGAGGAGCTGTCCCCAATTACCTAAAGGTCGGTGGCAGTTCATTCCTGATGAGTCCTCCGCCCCTGTGACCACATGGTAAGTAACTCCTATGAATTCTCATAGGAAGTTGACAAATCGGTGTCGGCCCAGATCCATCTTTTTCTAGAGGAATTAAAATATCCCCTCCCTTGCCTCACCGACACCAGTGCAGCAATAACGGTCTTGCAAAAACAGGACATCCAAGGCAAGGTACCCCTCTCAGGGGAAAGCCCTTCTAACCCCTACTAACCTCACTATCAAACGATGCACTATTCTTAACCCAGCTTCTCTTCTTCCTGTGTCGGAAGATGAGAAGGGGGGGGGAGGACAGCAATGACAGTGCTGAAATTTTGCAACACGACTAACAATACTAACACCTCTTCTGCGAACATGTCTTCTTTGTCCACTACTAACCTCTCTTCCAAAGGACACAACTGCATTTCTTTGGTGGAACTGGAGTCAGCGACGACACACCCCATATCACCCCGAGAGTAGCGGTAAGGTTGAACGTCTTAACGGAATCCTTAAAAAAACAGGATCTCCAACATCATGGCCGATATCCAAAAACCTTGGCCTGAGTGTCTCCCCATTGCCCTCTATTCCATCCGGAATGCCCCTCGGCAACCACATGGGCTGTCACCCTACGAGGTGTTGTTTGGGGGACCTCCCAAAACTGGGTTGTACTTTCCTCAACAGTTGTCGTCTTTGCATTCACAGCTTACAGGTTATGTGCAATCTCTGCAACGGGAGCTGCAGAAGATACACCATCGGGTTCGCGAATCGCTCCCCAATCCAAATGCAATAACAGGTGTTCTTTCTATTGAGCCAGGTGATTGGGTCGTCCTAAAGAAACATCAAAGAACCGGACTCGAGCCACGGTTCACCGGACCATACCAGGTCCAGCTGACGACACCTACCTCACTCAAGCTCGAGGGACGAGACAACTGGGTGCACGCAAGCCACTGCAAGAAGTTTTTCAGCTACACCAGAGAATGAGGGGTGTCATTTTCCTTTTTCTTTTTGTTTGTATGTCTTACATGTGTGCGAACGGAGGAAAAGACGGCAGATACCCCAACCTTTTATTTAAAATGCATCTGCGTTTAGCCAGAACCGCCACAAAACCAACTGTTGGGTATGCTCTAAGCCCCCACCCAGTCATCACATGTCCGCAATGGCCGCTGTTCATGCCCTATATGACATCCGCGTCGGCATGAAAAAGCAAGGGACCCCTTTTTAGCAGGTAACATTTTTTAGCAGGTAACATCAGTTTTAGCACCAATATTAGCTCTAGCTCCTGTAGGACCCTCGTCAGTCCATTATGGGTAACTGGACAGCTAGGCAACCCTCAGGTGTGCTTTAACATCAGCTTTGGCACAGGTAACAAGTTTGTTGGGACTACCACCTGTGAGGGGAGGTATAACTGTCAATCTGACTAACCAGACTTCCCTTCTGAGTAACCACACTGACCGACCAGACCACGTGTGTTGGAAGGACGGATGTGATGTGCAGACTGAGGGAGCAATCCCCCAGTCTGTGCAACTGTTGCTCAGTGCCAGAGGCCGAACGAGGAACTCCTCCTGCTCTGCTCTGACAGGTCCATACTATTTTCTGTGTGGTTCGGCAGCCTATAGAACATTTCCCCAGAACGTGAAAGGTTCGTGTGCCCTCATAAAGCTAGTCCCCGCATCCTATGTAGTGATGGATCATGAAGAGTTGATGGTCCACAAGAAGGTAAGGATGGCAGGGAGAGTTCGCAGGCAGCTGTTCTCTGAGGGCGACCAAGCATGGGCTTGGTTCCCCTCATGGACAGGTTGGGGAATAGAACTTATGAAGCGCCTGAACAATTTTTCTGTCATCGTGGATAGTATGTTTAACGAGACCGTAGAGGCTGTCAGAGAAATTGCCCAAGAACAACGACAGATGGGAATTTTAGTGCTTCAGGAGAAGATGGCCCTTGATTACCTTTTAGCCGCCAAAGGGGGGTTCTGTGAGTTCATCGGAGAGGATTGTTGTACTTGGATAGAAGACACCGATGACAAGGTCCAGGCCCATATGGACAAAGTTAGTGAACTACAGGGAAAAGCTAGAGCTATAGCTAGTGAGGGTTGGAATCCGTTCAAGGGTTTGGGAGGATTGGGAGATTTCCTGTTCTCCATCGGATCTTGGTTGAAGGAAGTGGGAGTGTATATCCTGATGCTTCTCTTTTTCATCTGCCTTTTATATGCCGCGGTGAGATGTTCCTGTTGCCTCATCGACCGTGTAAGCCAAGCTCGGGCAGACGACCACATCTCCATGCCCGCTCCTGGGATCCCACTCCAACCACTGATCGGAGGAAGACCTCACCAACCAACTACCTTCTCTGCAGATTACGTCCTGGCTTCCCTCTAATTTATCTCCCTGAAGACCACATTCTCCAAGACCTCCAAGCAAGCTTCAAGCCTCATCATGGTTTGTGTCTACGATTTGGAAAACTGTCTGGGTCGAGACCAGCCTTGTGTGGCCCCGTCTGCAGGGGCAATTTGAGAATCTGCTGCTGGATCTCCCCAGACCACCGTGAGATCACAAGCCTTTTTCATACCACAAGTCTGTTTGTGGTTTTTACAAGAGCCTTCCTGTAGTGAAGGTTCCAACGCTCTTGAGGATCATTGCTTCAATCAAGCCTGTTTGCGTCGAGTCTGCGTCGGGTCTTGTTGTTTCAGGTACCCCATGGAGCTTTATTCTCAGGGACAACTACAGGAAACTCTTTGAGGTTTTGAGACTACACTCATCAAGCTGAAGAAGATCAAGAAGGGACACGAGGAGAATATGATAAAACAGAAGGGAATGTCATGGAAATTTTTTATTGTTGGTCGAACTTTAAATGTGTCATATATTCTTGTTATTCATATGTCTCTCGTGTGGCTTAATTAAAGCTCTGAAGGCTGCAATTGGGCCATGCGCATGTACAACGTATGTATTACAGTACTCAGCTCGGTAACGGATGAGATGGCAGATCTGCGCTTATAGACCGGCGTGTATACCACCACGGCATTCGATGCGAATGCCGCTGTCAGTAGACCGCGGGCCTGTATCCACATATCAGCAGCATAGTACCACATGGGCTTCATAACGCAAGGCGCCAAGTGGTGTGAACTCCACGTGTAGGCTTATGCATATCTTACAACCCATTACCAATCTGAAACTGTATCCGGATGGATGTGTTTTAATAAAAGATCGTATCGGGCCCATCCAGGTACAGACTGATATTTCTAGGGGAATGCTTGTACGGAGAATGGACATACTGCTAGGAGCTGGAAAATATGCACTCCACAGAGGGCTCATGGGAAGGGGAGGAGATATGCTCTCCATAGAGAGCTCATGGGAAGGGGAGGAAGTCTGCTGACCTCAGAAGGCTCATGGGGGAAGACCAGTGACAGATAATAGAAAAGGCTATGCTCCAATCGGAATGTACATCCTGTGTATAGGCACTCCCCATTGCATTGTTCTGTGGGAGGGGTTTGACCTTATTCATGTGGGGGGGCGTGTGTGTATTTGTAGTAAAACCAAAGGGGAGAATGAAAATTGCCCTTATGTGAATTGCAACACTAGCCTTAGAGTGTCGTGTGATCATTCTAGGGTAACGGAGCTCCATCACCCACATTTCAACAGAGCTAACCCATTTGGATGGGCAGGAATCGTGCAGTTTAGCTGCAGTCGTGGTAAGCGAGATTCGCACAGCTTTATGGGGGATTTCTGCGCATCCAACTGCGAGTACTCACGGTAAGGAGAAATTCGTTAAAGCGAATTTCCAAGACAAACAGTATGCATCATCATAGACTTGCCGAACACGTACGTATGTGAAATAGATGTACCATAAATCTAATACTTTATTCATTGCAAATACCAACAGTGCTCTTACACCTTACCTAAAGTGTACACATATAAGTTCAAATGGGTCTCATCAATAGGATTTTAGGTCAAGTTAGAACATGAGGGGAAACATCTCTAACTGCTATGCACACTATCATTACTATTCTATGCAGTTAGTATTAAAAGAACATGTCAGTTATTTATGACCTGATGAAGTAAGTGAAGAAAGCACTAACCTGTACTTGTGGCAGAATTGCTTTGCCCACCATCAGAATATTGGCATGGATACTGTAAAGCTTCATCAGCACCAGGAAAATACTAAAATGGAAAAGAAAAAACTTGCCAAATGAAAAGATGCACTATTGAAATAGTCCAATATGTATAATGGGTCAGGGAATGTTTTCAATACAAACAAATGCATGTTCTTCTCATTCGAATACATCATATTCAGGAGAATGTATCTTTTGCCTATCATGTTATTACATTTAAAGTAGTATTAAACCCAAAAAGCCAACATTTGATGGCATCAGTTTTTTCCCCCCCTTTATTTTCACCTGGTGATTTGGCCAGTAAGTCTGTTTTTCAACAGAACAAGCTCTCCTACAAATGTAGCAGTTGAAGTATACATAGTATACTTTAGTAAACTCTGATTCAAAGCCGATGTACTCCTGTAATAGAATCCCTCAAACTTAATGATACATGATTTAAAAAATAAGGACCAGTATTGCTAAAAATGGGGATCTTTAACCTCAAAATAATGTCTCTATATAGTCCTATTACTTCATGGCATGTGACACCTCATTAAAAAAATGGCATATCAACTGATCTTATCCACGCAGATAAAAAGCTAGTTATACATAGGTTTGGACATTTGTAAATGTGTGGGTTTAATGTGCATTGGGGTTTCATTACATATTTTGGTTATAATGATCAGTATTATAAGGAGAGCTTTTCAGCACTCATTTCACTTGCCATGGTGTGTTTTAAAGGCTTCCAGACCAATCAAGTCAGAAAGACTTCCCAAATTTACATCTATCTATGGCCAGCTTAAGTCCACATTTCTTTCTACACTCAGTCAGTTATTTTTATGTATGGAATCAAGCAGAAAAAGTTAGTGATAGGATGACAGCGCTTTCTATATTACTTCATGACTCCCATATGGAGTTATAGGCAGAAACAGTGTTATTCAGTCAGGCAGTTATGTACTTTAAATTTTGTAATTACTTTATACACATATAAAGATTTGTTTTAAAAGGAGGTGTATTTTATTTATACTTTAAAACCACAAGACACAGGCGCCTGTGAGAATGTGGTTAATTATTGTAGTTTGCTAGAAAATGTGCCTATTTGCTGGAAAGGAAATTCTATTAAATAATGTAATTTATATGTATATATATATATATATATATATATATATATATATATATATATATATATATGTATGTGTGTGTGTGTAAATGATGTAATGTAAATAAAAGGGAGTTATAAGTCCCAGTTGGTTGTGTGAGCAGAGCTTTAACCATCTTCCAAAATTCCAGACATGTCCAATAAACATGAAACAAAGAACTTAAGGATGAGTCAACGAACTAGCAGAGTGGGGAGACAACAGGAATCATAGAGTGCAGAAATTCAGGAGTGTGGTACCTGTCAAAAAAATGTTTAAACCGGGTTTTATGTTCTATATCATACAAATGGATGATTTGTTGGTATTGCGCCAAGTTGCTTCCTTTTCCTCTTGGCTCAGCACCTGTCCCAGGATCTGCTCCCATTAGGTCATGTATAATGTTCTGGAGAAGCGTTTAGAAACATGTAAATAGTTGAAATTAACCTTTTAGTAGTGCAAATCTTCTCAAAATGGGTATTGTTACACAAAATGAGTTTAGTAAGTGACTGTGTGAAAGGTTTTGATTTGTAGCTATGTAAATAAAAAATTCTGATGGCAATTGGAATCTTGCCTCCAAGTAGGAAAAGGGAGCAGTTTGTTCGATTTTACAGAATCAAGAATGAAAAAAAAAAAGAATTATTTTTCCAAGGTGCAAACATATCTAATGTCAAAGTAGAAGACAGGTACTTTGTAGTCTGTATAAAGCAAGTTAGTGAGGATGCCTCAGAATTCAGATGATATGAATATCTGTATTGATTGCAGACTTATCTGGTATGTGACATGAAGGTTAGGAGTTTGGATTGTGGAATAGATACTTGGGAAGGCCACAGGATGGCATTGGGGCAAATTGGAGACAACCATAGTCTCTCAATCTACAACCAATTTGTAATAAGGGTGAAAAGAGAATCAGGATTGCAAACATCTCACTTGAGTTGCTTTATGGTATTTGACTGACTGGGAAAGTTAGGTCACCATGTTGCTTATGGGCAAATACCTTCTTTGCTATTTTGTGGTAATTTTTCCCTTCTGGGTAAATTCCAAGAAAAACTTCCTATAAGGATTTCAGTTCTGAATTGGGAATTTTTCGTGTTAAGGGTTCATAGTTCAAGTACAATCCTTTGTGGCAAAAGGGTTATTTTTTATAGCTGTCAACCTTCCTGTCCAAGACAAATAGTATTGCTTCCATCTATGTACTAACAATTTCAATGACCGAAAGACTGGATGATAGTTTGCATCATAAAGTAGAGATGAGTGTAAAGTTAGGTATATACTTCGATATATTCATTAGTATGTGTTGTAAGTTTTATAATAAAGACATGTTAGACCACCAAGGGCTGGCAAGTCCTCCCTGGGTAAAGAAAAAATAGTTGTTTGTTTCTCTCTAGGAGTTACAGGTGTGTTTAAAAGCAGTAAGGTCTTAGTTGATGTGGTAGAAATGTGACAGATATTCCAAAATTCTAGTAGTTCTATGTAAGACTGTATATTTTTATCATAATAGCCTTTAATTACATTTGCCATTTTTGACAGATGTTGGTGTGCAACACAGCTGAGTATCATACAGCTGAAATTTGTTGAGCAGCAGCCCCTGTTTATAGCCAGCAATATTGCCCCATTTTAAGTACAATATTGGTTTCTTGCCTTTATGTACAAGCACGTGTTGAAAGTACCTATAATAGGGATCCTGTCATTAGCTGTTTCCACTTTGCTAGTTAACTGTATAAAGCTGAAGTGTGAAGCTCTTCTTAAATGCTTATAGTATTCTTTATTCTATTGAAAAATGGTACATCAGCAAGTAAGTGAAAACAGCTTTCGGCATCCCCATCCTTCATCAAGTTCACAGGATATAAACATATGTACATACACAAATCAAGATCTGGGGGCCAAGTAAACACAACTGTTGTGCTAAAAGGGTGTTTGAGGTTATACAGCTCAAGAAATCTTTTACTGGCCCTAAGATGCTCCAACAAACCTTTTGGACATCTGCCAGTTTCCATATTGTTAGTCCAACACATTTTGCATGAATACTGCCATACTCTGCCATACTCTGAAACAAGCAACTGGTAGAGTTGCAGCTTTAAGGGAAAAGCATAGCATATTTTAAGTTTGCCAAGTTTAATTACCATTGCTGTTTCTCACACACAATAAACTCTGATACAATTTTAAAACTGTTGAAAAAGGGTATCAGCTACATAGGAAATGCACTGTTTGAATGAGTAAACTCCCTGTTAACAGAAAGGAGAGCATACATATGTAAATCAGAAAATATTACTATTCCCAAGTGCAAGCAAGCTTTTTTTTTATAAATAAAATATACACATGAAAAGAAACATTCATATTATTTACATCACACCAACCTCCTGTTCATCCAGAAAAAAACACTGAAAATACTTTTCTTCAAAACAAAGTGCCTTATGGCACACAGTTGCAAACTGAAACTAGAAGGTTTAATGAGGCCACATGGATCTCGCAGAGATTGTTTTTCTAGAGAGCATAGAATGAAAAGCTTGCCTGCATAAGATGTGTCATTATCTTGACAATCTCCTCCATTGAAGGTCGTTGAGATGGATCTTTTGACCAGCATCGAGTCATTAAGCTTTCAATAGGCTTAGGTAAATTTTTAATTAGAGGTGGCCGAGTACCTGGGAATTCATATGAAAAAGTAATTAAACAAATGCATTAAAACACATTTAAAATCCAACTGAATTTTCAGTTAAATAAGTTAAATGCTTTCCAGGTGCATCAGAACAATAGTGTGTAAATTTCTAGTTATAGTTTTCATTAGAAAGCATCAACAGTGGACATACCTATCTCCTGCCAGCATATTACAGAGAAGGACCCTTGTTCACTGTATGATAGCAAAGGTCTCTCCTCTTAAATTTGACACGGTGAGGGAGACCTATAACTGCAATTTACTCTCCTTGCTGACTTGACAGTTTGAACAAGGGTCCTTCTCTACAGCATGCTGGGCAGGGGGACAGGTTGTTCTACTCAGCCCAAGGGTGCTTTCTAAAGAAAATAAAGTTTAAGACCTAGCCCTTTTGTTTGATGCACCTGGAATATATTTCTCAGACTGAAACTGAAAGCCCAATTAAGCTTAGGACCCTTTCACACTGGCGTTCCATTTGTCTGTTTTTCATCTGTCCCTGTTCAGATAAAAAATGGACAGAAAGCCTGCATTTACACTTGAGCAGAGCATATTCCTGGTGATTATTACATGCTTTTTCTAGATGATTTTCAGGCATATTACAGGCATTTTAGCATGTGTATCACACTTAAGGAGTTAATTTCCTGGGCTGAGCAAGGGGAGGAGAGCAATTCTATAGTTGGAGAGGAATTCTTCAGGTGTGAAAATGCATATTGCATTTACAGGAAATCCCATGAAAGTCAATGGGATCAAAAATGCCTGGATACACAAAAAAGCATAGGTTGTAGAGCATTGGGGAAACGTAGTGTACAAGTGTGCAAAGGGACTATTGGAAAGAATGGGATTCTGTGCAGTCAGGCATAGGGAAAGAAGCAGAAAAACGGAGAAAAGAAAAAAGTGTGAATAGAGGCTAAGTCATTCATTCCTAGGGGCTTGTAGACATAAATGGATGATCATCCATTTACAACTGCCTATACCTGCATTTGTTCAGGCCCATTTTTTTAAACCAGAGAAGGTTGAATCCTTTTCTGTTTAGATGGATCTGAACAGATGTAAATAGACGCCACCTGTTTCTGTCCTTTCCATTTACATCCACTTTTAGGCAAAGAAAACATTTTTTGTTTATACTTTTGTCATCCATGACTAGTTCCTTCAACAACTAAAAGAAACAGATGCAAAAATGAAGTAAAACTGATGTGAGCTGAACTAAACTGAAGTGCAAACCGTTGTAAACTGAAATGAAGACTGACATGCAAACTGATGTAACCTGAATTGGTATTCAACCTTTTTTTTTTTCAGAAAAAACGTGACTGAAATGATGACGCCCGTGTGAAAGGGACCGGTAAACATAAATGTACCTTCAAAAACAAGGTGGAGTTTCAGGTAATAACACAACCTTAATATATCAGTAATGAGTAACCTAAAAAACAAAAAACAAAAAACATGGTACTATAGACATAACATTAACAAGAACACGTAGTGTACAATAACAGTAAGTGTACAATGAGCTAATTTTACATTTACCTGAAGCATTTTTGAAGTTTAATTTGCAATTTCTCCCTCTGGTTGTATATGTTCAAACTAGAAGCTATTTGTATACCAGGCTGTAGAGCAGGGGTGGGCAAACTTTTTGACTTGAGGGCCGCAATGGGTTCATATATTGGACCCGGGGGCCGGACCCATAGTAATTCATCCCCCATATAGTAATTCATCCCCCCTATAGTAATTCATCCCCCCTATATAATTCATCCCCCCTATAGTAATTCATCCCCCCTATAGTAATTCATCCCCCATATTGTGTCAATTCACTTACCTTTGCTCCGCGCGTTCCTCTCGCCGTGTTCCCGCGCCGTTCCGGTCTTCAGGGCGGACTGTGAGAGGAGCCTAGCTCCCCTCACGTTCGTCACGCTGCCCCGCCTACATCCTGACAGCCAATGTTTGCCACGCTCCGCGGGCCGGATTAAAAGGTCCGCCGGGCCGTAGTTTGCCCATTGCTGCTGTAGAGTCAACAACCTTGCTGAACTGCCCAGAGAGAACTGGCTAATGAAATGTCACCGCAGAGAATGTATAGTTTTCTACCTTACCAGATTTTGATTTGCAACTCAGAAATAGTAAAACACAATCACTGCATTGAATAAATCTACTCTGAGGCTTGTTTCCCTCCTTTTCAGCCCAAATGCTCACAAACTTGTATAGGGTTGCTTCACTAGATAGGAGACAGCGTTACACAAGTCTATGAGGGCTCACTGTGAAGGTGCCACAGTAAAAAGAATTTCAGCCAGAGGGGATTAAACTAAAAGCCACAAGTTTGGAGTAGGCTGATGCTGTTCTACTGAGGTAAGTAAGCAGCTGGGGTGTAGTGGGTTTTAGGCTATAATCAGACCTTTGCTTGTTGGGAATGCATGCAAAATCATTGTTAATGGCACCATGTGGTTCGGTGGGTCCTTCAAAAAAGTCAGGGAAATCTTTTTCACGTTTGTTGCATGTATAGCAGCCCACCTGTAGATCTAAACTCAGCCTATAGCCCCGTACACAAGGACCAAATATCGGTTGAAATCAGCCAGTACAGTAGAAACCAGCATTCAGCCTATGTGTACGGGTTCTTGATTGACAGAAGCTGATCTCTTGGTCGGCTTCTGTCAAACGAGTTTGGTGGAAAACGGGAAAGGTCTCAGAAGACTGAGGGACCATTCACAGTGTGCAACAGGGACTCGGCTGTGACAGCTTGTGGCTTCACAGCCAGGTGCCCATAGTAAAGATGCCAGCACCAAGGAGAGCGATCACAAACTGAAAACCTCTGGGTCGAGAACAGCGCTGGATTGTGGGACAGGTGGGTGGCTATTTATGAAAAGTCAGCAGTTACAGTTTTTGTAGCACTGACTTATAATTTCTACTAACATGACTGGACCTCCGCTTTAACACCCTGTATCAACTAGTAATAAGAGCTAATTATTTAACACGTACAACATTTAAAAGAGTAATATAAATAACTCACCATTGTGAACTGCCCACATGATGCGGAAGGCAGGGCCCACAATTTCATCAAAAGGTTTTCTCCTGGTTATGACTTCCCAAAGGATAATGCCCCAACTGAAAACATCACATTTCTCACTGTAGTTACTACCTAAAAGAAAAGCATATGTATCATCTTCTTTATTATCCCGAAGAAAGATCCTGGTAGATGTACTGGGAGCATGTGAAACTTATACAGGATTTTTGGTACGATCACCATCTTTACCAGATTTATACAACCTATCCAGGAAGCACCACCTTTTGACAATCTCCCCAGCTCCTCTTTTATTTTGTTTACTAATGGGATATAATTTGCCAGGTACAGGGCTTTTATTGAAGGATTTAGTTTTATTCCCAAATAGCCTATTTCCTTTTCCCTCCAAGTAAATGAAGAGTTTTTTTGTAGACTCAGCTTCTCAATCTTTTGTACATTGATGTTTAAGATCTCTGTCTTTGCAGGGTTTATTTTCAAATTTGATAGCTCACAGTACCGTTTTAATAATCTCATTAAAGTAGGCAACATTATTCTAGGGTTTACAATATAGAACATGTCATTTGCGTATGCCGCCACCTTATGCTCCACTTCACCTATCTTTATTCCTGCTATGTCTACACAATTTCTTACCCTCGCTAGGAATAATTCCAGGGATAAAACAAATAAAGGAGAAAGTGGACATCCTTCTCTGGTTTCGTTAAAAATTTTAAAAAACTGAGAGAGGGATCCATTGACCTTGACTGCCACTGATGGAGCACTATAAAATCCTTTTATCCACCTTAACATTTTAGGCCCTATTCCTAAGACCTCTAGTGTATTGATCATGAAACCCCAGTTAACCCTGTCAAAAGCCTTTTCGGTGCCAATTGACAGGAATAATGTCGGCAGTTTCTCTCTTTTTACCCTTTGTAGGAGGAGCAATGATCTCAGGCCATTGTCTCTACCTTCCTTCTCTTCCTGGAATGAATCCTACCTGATCCAGGTGTATCCACTCCGGCATTAACTCTTTCAGTCTGGTTGCCAATACCTTAGCATACAATTTAGTGTCAATGCTGAAGGATATGGGCCTCTAAATGGCACGCTGTGTAATATCTTTTCCTTCTATAATTGTTATATGTGTCTGCAATGACTCCTCCCTCATTTCCAGCTCCTCCCCTATTGCATTCATATATACACATATTTTAGGGACTAGGAGATCTCTACATTTTTTTTATAATGAGACCACAGTATATCCGTCCAGGCCAGGGCTCTTTCCTATAGCCGTATTTTTTATGGCCATGGTGATTTCCTCTGGGGTAATAGGTCACTCTAGGGTCTCTAATTTTTCTTTTGCTATTTTTGGCAACTGCACTTCATTTAAATATTTGTATGTTTTTCTTTTTTTCCTCCTCCTGTGTTCCTTTTGGTTTCTAGGGCTCACATCGTACAGCCGGCTATAATATTTTTGGAACCTTTTGGCAATATCAGTGGTGGCGTACACCATTTCTCCTTTGTCGTATTTAATTTGCTTCTATAATGTTTTTGGATTTCTTCCCCCTCTAATAGCTTTCTTTTGAGACCCTGTCGAATATCCTTCTTGACTCCTGTTATACATCTGTACCTGTCTTCTTTTTATGTGACTGTTCTAACTTGCAGAGCTCCTCCATCACTATCTTTAATTTTTTCCCCTCGTTCCCTCTTTCTTCTGCTCCCATTGAAATCAATATTCCTCTGATATGTGCCTCCCAGATTGTAGCCACCGACACCTCCTCAGTCTCATTGAGCTAAAAAAATTGCTCAGTTTCCTGCCTCAACCTTTTCTCTAATTCAGGATCCTGTATAAGCGTCTCATTTAGTCTTCACAATTATCTTATCCTGATCCTCTGCTACCCGTAGTCTCATTGTGACAGGAATTATAAGATATCTTCCTGCGCCTAGTGAGACACTCTACTACAGGTACTATCCTGCTGCTGTGCAATGTGAACAACACAAATATATGAAAAAATAAAATAACAGCGCAAAACATAGACCTCTACATAAAATCAAAAAAGTGCAAAAAAAAAAAAATTTTTTGTAAAACAAAATACAATTTAAATGGTGCAGTCCATCAAATTCTTATATAAATAGTGAAATCCATCAAAATAAACTAAAGTTCAAAAATATTCAAAAATATATGTGCAAAAAAAGAAAAAAAAAAGAAAGAAATCTTTTCACATTCTTCTTGTAAAGAAACTTCCACCTTCCACCCGTGAAAACCAATATCAAATGCACTCACCAGATATAGGTGAATAAAACGCCTTTTAGGAATTTTATGGGATCCTACACCCTCTTTCGTATCCACTCTATAGGAATCCTCTCCTCCAACATGGGCTCCACCATCCGACCAGGGAGAAAAAAATCTCAAATAGTGTAATATTGTAAGACACCATTTCATATGTGAAATCAAGGATTAAGGCCACTCACATTAATTTCACTTTAAAAAGGCATATTTATTAAGGCAAGCTTCTCTCCAGATGAACAGTAGATGCAAGGTAACCTCTCTCACAGAATCTCACATCACAGTCCCAGGTTCCAGCAGAAGCTCCACAGAGACCACACATATATAAATCCCACAAAGATGGCCGCTGGAACGCACCACTCAGCGTGCGCTCCACTCACCGGAAGTGACGTCGGACATGCAAAATAAAACCGGAAATGCGTCAACGCGTTTCGCCCCTCCCACAGGGCGTTCTCAAGACAATCATTTCCTGTTTGAAGCTCCCTTATATACCCAACTGGGACCCACCCCTCCGTTGTGATAGGTCTAAACCCTCCCCGGGATTATCAAAACAAACCACTCCTCCTGTGATGTAACGTGAGAATCCTTTACACATGAGGTCTATGCCTACATAATTCAGAATACTTATTAGAACCATTAGATTATCCCCAAAAGCGACATGTGTAAACCACATGCCACCAGTGGGAAAACACGAATGTATTTTAAATTTTAAAACAATACCTCAAAAATACAAAAAACTTTCTTTAATAAATAAGCAATGAAATAAAAATTTTAAAATTAAAATAAAATAATTTATGAAGAATAATATAATAAAAATAAAAATAAAAAATGAAATATAAAATATAATAAAAATAAAAATAAAAATAAAAATAAAAATAAAAAAATAAAAATAAAAATAAAAATGAAAAAATAAATAAAAATAAAAATAAAAAAAAAATAAAAAAAAATAAAAATAAAATTAAAATTAAAATAAAATAAATGAGAATGCAAATTCATCAAGAAATGAAGTATATATAGGAATGGAAATACTATGCTATTACCAATTAGACAGATAACAATTGATGTCTATGTCTGAATTCAACCCTTTAGGGTACAAAGATCCTAATTGAAAGATCCATTTTGTTTCATTCTGCGAGATACTTTTGACCATATCTCCCCCCCTCCAGTGGGGAAAATCCGATCAATCCCGCAGAATTTCAAACACGATGGATCTCTATTATGGCACATTCTGAAATGATAAGAAAGACTATGATGTTTAAATCCTTTTTTGATATTTCTAATGTGTTCACCCAATCTCACCGACAATTTCCTGGACGTTCTACCTACGTATTGCAGGTGACAAGAACACTCCAGCAAATACGTAACAAAAGAACTGTCACAAGATATAAAATTATTTATTTTATAAGAGGAACCTGTAGAGCAAGAATGAAACGAATCATATCTCCTCTTAGTGTCTCCTTTCATGTTTCTACATGCCAAACACCTATTACATTTATAAACCCCACAGTGTCCAAAAAAGTTGCCTTTTTCTTCGGAATATCTGGGACATTTTTTGCCAACTTCATTCTCAGTGTGGGTGGTTTTCTGTAGACAAAAGACGGTTTCTCCGGTATTACATCATGGAGAACCTCATCCCTCTTCAGTATTGACCAGTGTTTCCTTATGATTTTCTCAATAACCTTATATTGATTTGAGTAACCCGTAATAAAAGCCAATTCACCTGTTTTCTTTTTCTTCTTTCTATTTGTTAATAATTCATCTCTATTCATCATCCCCACTTGATTCATTGCACCCATTAGAATATTTTCTTCATAACCTTTTTCTCTGAATCTTTCCAGCAATATGTTGGCTTGCTCTTGAAATGTTTTGTTGTCATCACAATTCCTTTTAAGTCTAATGAGTTGACTTTTGGGAACAGACCTCAACCAATTTCTATGATGACAACTGTGGATTGGGATGTAAGCATTCCTATCCACTTGTATATCTTTATACAAAAACATACTTTAAACAAGTGGATAGGAATGCTTACATCCCAATCCACAGTTGTCATCATAGAAATTGGTTGAGGTCTGTTCCCAAAAGTCAACTCATTAGACTTAAAAGGAATTGTGATGACAACAAAACATTTCAAGAGCAAGCCAACATATTGCTGGAAAGATTCAGAGAAAAAGGTTATGAAGAAAATATTCTAATGGGTGCAATGAATCAAGTGGGGATGATGAATAGAGATGAATTATTAACAAATAGAAAGAAGAAAAAGAAAACAGGTGAATTGGCTTTTATTACGGGTTACTCAAATCAATATAAGGTTATTGAGAAAATCATAAGGAAACACTGGTCAATACTGAAGAGGGATGAGGTTCTCCATGATGTAATACCGGAGAAACCGTCTTTTGTCTACAGAAAACCACCCACACTGAGAATGAAGTTGGCAAAAAAATGTCCCAGATATTCCGAAGAAAAAGGCAACTTTTTTGGACACTGTGGGGTTTTATAAATGTAATAGGTGTTTGGCATGTAGAAACATGAAAGGAGACACTAAGAGGAGATATGATTCGTTTCATTCTTGCTCTACAGGTTCCTCTTATAAAATAAATAATTTTATATCTTGTGACAGTTCTTTTGTTACGTATTTGCTGGAGTGTTCTTGTCACCTGCAATACGTAGGTAGAACGTCCAGGAAATTGTCGGTGAGATTGGGTGAACACATTAGAAATATCAAAAAAGGATTTAAACATCATAGTCTTTTTTATCATTTCAGAATGTGCCATAATAGAGATCCATCGTGTTTGAAATTCTGCGGGATTGATCGGATTTTTCCCCACTGGAGGGGGGGAGATATGGTCAAAAGTATCTCGCA